AAAAAAAAAAATTGAATGATGCCGGAATCGAACCCGGGCCGTTGGCGTGGTAGGCAAGCACGTTACCGCTAGGACAACGCGCTCGTTTAAAAATATAAATTCATTAGTGGTATATGTTCAACATATTGAATAATTTTTTTCGTTGAAATTCCACAAGATGTGGTTTCCCCCTTCCGCACGTTCTACAGTCGGCTAAATTTCAGTTAAACAAATGAAAAACAAAAAGCATTCGTACAGCAGAAAATAAAATTAAATAAAAAATCTTTAAAAAATAAAATAAAATCTTTGGTATAGTAAGTCATAGTATAGGAGAACAATTGAAGAATGGATTTAAAAAAAAATACAGTTGTTATAAATTGAAAATGTTATTTTATTTGCGACATCAATTGCAACCTTCTCCCGTTGAACACTAAAAAATTGGTCCAAAAGGTAAACATCCTTTTTATTGATTTATCAGAGATTTTCGACAACATAATAACTCTCGTCATGATATTTTTTGCTTCTTTTCTACTTCCGAGATTATGATTTATGTATAACATTGAATATTCGACGACGATACATACATGTCTTATATTACACGGGATAAAATCTGTATTTCGTTAAAATATAACAGTTGGAGATAAAGACTGAACAACAACATAAGCCAACAAAAATTATAAATACAGGTGTTTTCTGTTTTATCTCTATACATTATGTTATATATTATTTAAATTAAAATAAGTGACATAATATATAAAAAAAAGAAATTGATCTGTGAATTTGATACTCAAGTCTTGGAAGTGGCATCCACGATATTTTATCATTCGTGACCGTATTCTTCTTCATTTCTTTCCTTTTATTTCGACGAAAATGTCAAAAATTTTAATTATGGAACAACAAATACTGCTGACAGAGTACATTAATTTATGGAGTCAGATGGAATCGTCTTTACGCTTGTTTTGGATGTGCAACGGGTGCTGGACTTGGATCTGAGCGGAAGCAGGAGAGGAGGAAACCGGTATACAATCCAAATAAAACTGTTATTCCCATTATTATATACATGTATATATTCAGCTCAGGTTGACGGAACCTGTTCTTCCTCAGCCACTCTAGGACTTCCGCTTCTTTGTGCAGATGTCCTGAAAAATCATCAGTCATTTGATCTTTATTCATTATTACTATTCTGTGTTAAAAAAAAAAAAAAAGCATGGACTGGAGAGTGTCATGTTAGAGAGCCAAAAGATGAACTCTCCATCACTGCGAGATATCAGAGATTATAGGGAAGATTACTAGTGCCTACACAGAACCTTCATCATGGTGAGAGCCCTATACCTGTAAGTAAAACAGAGCGCGGGCCCGAGAGTATTGATTATTTTCAGAGTCCGTGACAATGGAATTAATTATTTTTTTCAAAGAAAAATTCAAAAAAATTTTTCCTCAGGTACGGGCTCTGATTTTAATTCCGTAGCATTCCGTAGCAATGCGATCCCTTATTAAAGTCTTTCCATAAGCCCTAGCAATCTCCCCTATAATCTCTGTTATTATTCTCATAAAACATTTGCAAATGCATTTGAAAACGAGAATTTTATCAAGTTGACCGGCCGCTCATGCTCATAAAAATGATAAAAAAGAAAAATGGACAAAAGAAATCCAATTTTTATTAATATTATCTAATAGCTCGACTTACCTCGATAAATACTAGGAAATTTCTTACGGAAATAGACAATTGCTGGTAATTTCGTAACCCCCCATTTTCTAGCGTAACGAGTGTCCGCCATTTTGACGAATGTTATGTCCAAATTGTCAGTTTCACCGTCGATGCTCTCAAGTTTTTGATTAACTTCTGCACTTTCCTTATTGTTATGTTCATCTGAAATCAAAGATGTCATTTAACGAGCTTTAAATATTTAATTTGAAAAATGGGCACGTTTCAGATTTTTTAATTAATTTTTTCACACAATAATTTTATGGATGCCATCGACATACAGAAGAAAACTGTGACAAATTCATTTTCCTCCAGGAGTTTGTCCAGCATTTTTTTATTAACTTCCTCGATCTCGTTTTTGATCTCGAAAACATCCTGAGATGTCAGCCATTGGAGAATTTTATCGGCTTGCGTCAAGTCCCCGTCATAAATCAGAGGGACTTTCTTCCTGAAGTAAACCAGCGAGGGAACATTTATGATTTGGTATTTCTCAGCAGCTTCTTGACTCGAGACCTTGACAAAATCTATTCCAAAAAGATCGGCTTCCCCGTCTATTTGCTCTAAGGCTTCCATTATCTCCTCACACTCTGGGCAGTCTTCATCATCTTGAAAAGTCCATTTAAATCACCAATTAATTTGTGCAATTATTCATCAAATTTTACTTACAAAAGAAAACAGCCAGAAATGGAGATTCATCTAAAAGCCTCTCGAGCATTCTATCATTCACCGATTCAATCTCATCCGCTAGCTCTCGATTGTCATCATCGATCAGCCACTCCAGAACAGAATCCTCATTCTGGAGATCTCCTGGGACGGGAATTGAAAGACATTCCAATCAATTCAATAAAAGTGGGCTTTTACAAAAAGTTCATTCCTCATTGATTTTTCAAACCTTCAAAAAGCAGTGGATTTCCATTTCTGAAGTAGACTAGAGCTGGGAATGTCTTGATGGAGTATCTCTTCGCCAGCTGTGGATCTCGTATTTTCACAAGGTGAATACCAAATACATCGCACTCGTCGTCGATGCGCTCCAGTCCCTCCAGGATATCATCACAAATGTGACAGTTCTGTTTATCTAGAAAATAAAATGTATTCATTGACAATATCACAGCTGGATGTTATAATATATAATTTAACCAACAGAAGTAGACAGCGAGATATTGCGTATCTTCTACAGCGGACTCCAGCATAACTCGAGTAATCAACTCGATTCGATCCTCTGTTTTCTGAGTGATTAGCCACTGGAGTACTTCCTCTTCCTCAGCTAGATCCCCCTCAAAGACATTAGCGGTTTGAGACTCGTAGTAGACGAGCACTGGGAAGTCAGTTACTCCATAATCATCAGCTATTTTAAAGTCCTTAAATCATTGTAACATAACAGAATCAACATCTTCAGGAGCCTCAGGATTGCCAGTTGCCATTTTACCTGTGTTTTTACGAACGTAATCCCATGTCTGTCACAGTCATCATCAATGTTCTCCAATTCCTCCAGGATTCCAGCGCACTGCTCGCACTCGTCGCTGTCTGGTGGGGAGGGAGGGGAGGGGGGAAACTATTTAATTCAATGAAAATGAAAAACAAAAAACAAAAGAAAATCACCTCCTCAAAGCCACCAAGCACAATATCAGCAGAAAAGTGCAAGTCCATGCATAAAGTACTGAGGAATTTAAACATCCTCGTGGCGCTAATGAATATATCTGGAAAGATTATTGCGTTCGGATGATGAATAAAATAGCGGGGAATCATTCATACAACTGTTACTCAGTGTTTCATCACTACAAGGCGATATTAATCCTATATTGAGGCATTTAATTTGAAGTTTCAATTTTCTCGTCTTTTCAATCCTCTCGTGTCTTTCTGTGTGCCGTGAAGATGTTAGATGTTCTGTTCCTCTAATTTCTTAATTTTTTAAAAACTCGAGTCAACTCGTTCGAGTCAATTTTACTTCTGGGCAAAAATAATTAATTAAAAATAGAGTGATGATCTCAAGCTCAAGCTGTCAAAATGCCAAAGGTGCGGCGCAGAAGATGGCAAAGAGCCACGTGCGTGGAAGAAAGCACTATGTCCAAAGCTAGAGGGTTAAAATTATTAATTTAGCATTATGCTTATAGTCGATACCAATGGCATCTTCGGTCGCTTCAACCTGTTCGGCAATCCTCTGCTCCTGCTTGTGCCGCATCTGCTTGCGAAATGCTTTCGATTGGCACATGTCGCAAAGCGTTCCGTTCCCTACGAGCATTAGTTCCAAGTCAGCACGAGAAATTATTAAAAAAAAAAAACAAAAAAAAACAAAAAAAAAACAAAACAAAACAAAACATAAGAAAAATCAGACTTCATTATAGAGAGGAGATTAGCGAAGACAATTAGCATGCAACGAAGCGAATTATTTTTCATTACTGTTTTTCCGTGGTGAGAGTTTGGGTGACAGGGTTTTTCTACTCACAGAAATAAACCGCTAGGGCATCCGATTCTCGGATTAAATGCAGAAGGTCCTCGCCCTCGAGGGCTTCTATTACCTCTCCAGAAGGATCTTTCTGCACCATCAACCACTGGAGGATCTGATCTTCATCGTATAGGTCACCTGCAGACCAATATAATCAGTCCGAAATTCTTCCTGGATTCATCAGTAAATTAACAATTCTTGTTGACAAGTTTATAATGTAAATATTAATATAAATATAAATATTATTATGGGGAAAAATAGTCTTCATGTGTTGGAAAACAATCTAATATAATTACCAGCATAAATAACGGGTTCTTTGGAGCCCATTCTGAAGAACAAAATGGCGGGTAGAGCAAAAACTCCAAATTCTTTGGAGAGTTGTTTATCATCAATTTTAACAAAATTAATGCCTGCATGATCTGCCTCGTCATCAATATGTTCGATTTCCATAAGAACTCGACTGCACTGTTTGCACTCTTTGCTGTCTATCCACAGGTGGTTCACAGTAAAATAATATTTAAACTGTTTATATTAATTTATTGAAACGAAGGGAGACTTACAAAGGAATACAGCGACGTAATCGTTGGTCTGTCGTATCTTGTCGAACATTTTTCGATTGATCCTCTCTATGTGATCCGTCAACTCCATGTTCTCTGGGTTGGTCAGCCAGTCAAGGATCTCCTCCTCGTCGTCTATATCCCCGTCATAATTGATGTACTTCCCCTTACGGAAGTACGTTATCCCCGGGGGATTTCTGAAACCATATTTCTTCGCCATCAGACGATCCCCCATTTGCACTATTTTTATTCCATACTCCGCTGCCTCGTCGTCGATCAATTCGATATGACGGAGGATCCTGGGACTCTCCGAGTCCTCCTCTTTGTCTACAATTTTTTCAAACTTTAAATGAAATTTCTGCACTTGTTTGAAAAATTGAAAAAAACATTGAAAAAATGAATTTTATAATAATAGGATGAATTAGGATGAATTATTCCCTGGAATTTTGCCGGGCTATTTAGGATTAGTTTTTCAAGTGGAACTTACAGAAGACAACTGCGAGGAACTCTTTCGTCTCGATATACTTCTGCAATTGCTCGCGATTTATTTTTTCGATGCTGGCATCATTCCTCTGCTTCGTCATCCAGTCGAGAACTTCCGATTCATCCAAAAGATTTCCTGGATTTTTGCAATGACAATCCAGTGAATTTCAATGGGATTTTGCCCAGAGGAACTTTGTCCAATGGATTTCATCGAGCTTTATCTTTATTTCTATCAATTTGGAATAACGGAATAACAGCCAAAATCCAAAATAAAAAGGAAGATAAAACAATTAATTACCTAATAATTGCAAATTCTTAAGAAACAAAAATAAATTTTTTAGAGATTAATTATATGCGTACATTTCTTACCTGTCATTTCACTCCAACCAATTAAATAAAATTCATAGAGAAATACTTTCAATAACGCTTCAAGATTTATTGCCGACATATTCTCATTTTTTCCATTTTTTTTAAACCAAATTTCTGAGAAACGGGTGAGAAAATAGGCAAATTGACATGGAAAATTTTTCTAATATCGTCTTCGAATTTTATTATTACAAGATCCAATGTCTCACCAACTATTCATAAGTATATGAAAAATAATAAGGAGATATCGGCATCAAAATTCCTTAACAATAAAAATAAATCAATTAACAATAATAATATAAGGAGAAAAAAAGAGGTGTATGAGTTGCTGAAGTGCGGACTGTTCTGGAATGGCTACGACAAATTCCAGAATCCTTGAAATCGAGAATAAAAATATTTAGAATTAGGCGACAGAACGTCGAATTTTTCCATTTCCTTTTCTTTATTTTATTGAAATTTCTTCTCCGTACAGATGATCTTTCCACCAAAAACCGCTGTACAATTTACATTTACAAATAAATTACTTCCAATATAATATTTATATATTAATATATACATTCGTATAAATATCTATAGTCCAATTGTCACGTGCGTCGATTCAAAGGACTCATTATAATTTATAACGAACAGAACAACCACAATAATGAACTCAGGCGTTGTTACAGCTAGCTGTAGCCCCTATGATTCTTCGACCCTTCAATTCATTATTTTAGCATAAAAACTGGATGGTACAGCGGCTGTTTACCATTAATCAACATCTACATCTCCCCAAAACCAGAAAAAAAAAAAATGCGGAATATGAAGAAATGCGCTCAAAACACCAATTGACAATTGAAAAATTCAACCAAAATATCGAATGGCGTGACCAGCTCAATATTAATGCGTAAACCGTCACAGCGAATAATAAATTATACATAAATTAGTGCAAAGATCTTTTACAACCGAACTTTTTAACGACCGACAAAAAAAAAAAATCCAAAACAGATAATTAAAAAATATTGACATATTTCCCCTGACTTTTACAAAATCATTGTTGCGATAATGACTGGGCGACGAAATACCAGTGAAAATGACAAATTTGAATAAAACCCTCCCCCACCCCCACCCCCACCCCCACTGGCTGAATGATTTTCCAATGGATAAACCCGAAGTGGAAATTGTTGCAACCCATTAAGTCCTCCAGTGGAATAACGTGTGAATCAGATCTTAATGAGGTAGGGCAAGCCAGCGATAACTGCAAAATGTTTTTCTTCCTCATTTTCCAAAACTTTTGTTTGTTTTTTTTTTTTTTTTCTATTTAATAATTACCACTTCCAAAAAATCCTCTCTTGCCTTTGGTTTTCGTTTCACTCGACTTGATATTTTTCTTAGTCTCCTTTGGTGTGAGTTTGTTTATTTGTTTGAGGCTCGCCGGTGTCTTGCTACTGTGTGATGGTGATACCTTTGATGATTGGTGGGTGACATGCTGAGCCTTTGCTATCTTGGTTGGAGCTGGGACGTTTGCCCGACAGCACTGGTAAGGCTCATAGGAGGGTATCATGGGTTTCGCGCTTTTACCACCCATTCCAATGTAGAAACAGCCGTCGCCTGGGTCAAGCAAATAAAACAGAGTATTTGTAGTGGCACATTTTTTTGCAATCTTCTTCTTCTTCTTTTTTTTCTTTTTTTTTTCTTTTTTTTTTGATCTCTATTTTTTACGCACGTTAAACGAGGGAGGGGAAGGGGGAGGGGAAGGTGGAGTCGGATGTTAATTATCTATGAATAATTAGAGTCGGCAAAAAGGCACACGTGCAGTTCCAGCTCTTGAAATTAAAGTGTCAAAATTGTTAGGGCGATCTACACTATTATTCTACGCATTCTGGTGAAAAACTTGCTGAGAATCTGAGATCAGATGTGGCGATGATCCAGTTTTTGGGTTGTTGAAAAAAATATTTGAAATACCTCATCAATTCACATTATCTATGTTTATTTATTAAAGAGAAATGAGCGGATTGCAAGAAAATATTTGAATATAACTATTTGAATAAAACTAGTTGGAAATTAACAGAAAATTTACAGGTAAATTTTTCCCTGTGTTGAATGAACGTCAAATATCGGTCAAGTTGAATTAATTCCGTAAATAATTACTCAACACAATTAACCAGTCAATTAATAAATTAGCACAATGAATTAATCGGTGTAATCTGGGAATAAAATCGATATTAATCAACTGATAGATGATAATAAAGAAAAATTCAAAAATCTAAAAAATTAACTCCGAAGCTAATAAAATGATAAAATTTTCGGATCATCGCACATCATAAGAAAATAGTGGTGTACGCCCTCCAGAAAGCCGATGGGAATGACAAAAAAGTAATGCTCGCCCAACGGAGTGGATTACCCTCGAAACTAAAAAATCTAAAACTAGAGAGAAAATTAAAAAACAAGTACAAAAAAGTGCAAATTGCCACGCATTGAACTCCCCATTGACTCCACCACGACCCTTTGATCCAGTGGCTTTACCTACTAACGAGTCCGTCTCAATGAATTTTAAATTATCGTCAGGTATCATGGATCAATCATGGATCTATCGATTTGTCATTTGGCTTTTATCTCGTCTCAGGGGTTGTCTTCCCCTTTTACCTTTATCAAGGATTTTCTTGAGTGCTTTCCTCTGCCCCTTCTCGTCATTATCATAATGATCCTCATCCTCGTCGTCGTCGTCGTCGTCGTCATCGTCATCATCATCATCATCATCATCATCATCATCATCATCATCATCATCATCATCATCATCATCATCATCATCATCATCATCATCATCTTCTTTATCATCATCATCATCATCATCATCATCTTCGTCATCGCCATTATCTTTACCATCTTTATCATCTTCCTTATAATCATCATCTTCATCTCTGTCACTTTCATTATCATCATTTTCATTACTATCATCATTATCTTCGTCGCCATCATCATTACCTGTGTATCAAGATGAACCACATGTGATAAACGACACGTTTCTCGATATTTAAAAATATATATTATACAAGATTGTCCGATTCGCGATCTTTTCCCGATAAGAAAAAATAAACGTCAATTAAATTTTAAACAGCCGCTGGAGGTGTGCCCATTCCGCTAGTTGATAAATAATACTCCTAGGTTTTAACAATACTCTCATTATTCCTTGTAATTATTCTTGTAAGCAAAATGAGGCGCCATGCGATACAAGACAGAGAAGAGAATTCAGAGAAGAAAATAATAAATCAATAGTAAAGCAGTTTTTGGAGAATATGCGAATTTTTAAAAATTAAGTCCTTTAAGATAAAATCATTACTCGATCATTTCTGTGATATTTCACGAGTCGAAATCAAAGGGTCAATTATAAGTTTTAACTCAACAATTAGGAGGGGCTGAACATGAAGATCAATTACATTTTAATTAATCAGTGTAATGACACAAAAAATTCCATTGAATTCGAAGTTGTTTGACGAAAATTGTTAGTCATCCCCTGGGGATGAATAATTTTTTAGATTGATGGGGGAAAATTGAAAATTAAAACTACAGGCAGATTGTAGTGAATAAAAATGCAATAAGCTGTACTGATTGGAAAAAAACAAAAAAGAAAATATTTTTGGTATTAAAAAATTCGTGAGCGCGTACGCAACGGCACGGCATATTATGCCTTGTGTACATTATTGTAATTTCTATATAACGGTAAATCAGTAGTTACGATTGATATTAAAGTAACAAAAAATAGTCCACCCGTTATAATTAACATCATTCTATAGATTTTCTTACTTTTTTGCTCGATTAGCCATTCCAGAACTTTGTCCTCGTTCTTAAGATTACCTATAAAAGTCAGACAACACGCACACATGTATAGAATAATTTATTCAATTGATTTTATAACAGATTGGGTATTGAACTTCGACATCGACAATGGAAGAAGAGTCTCGACGACGAGTGGTTTTCTGAAGAAAAAATAAGCCTCTCTTTAAATCACTGGCTCTCGAGACAAATGTTTATTAATTGTCGAATTTCTCATTATTCATTACTCCAAGAATGCCTTGATTGTTTCTTTTTTTTTTTAAATGGGATGGAATGACATGCTTTTATTGAGGGAACAAATATTGAAAACACAGGATGATTTTATCGTTTAAATCAGTAGTGGCTTTATTTTTAGTTGAGGGAAATTTTTTTGTCCAAAATTAATGAAAAGGCAATTGAAATGTCAAAATTTAAGTTGGTAATATTTGTACAATTAATATTACCTTGGATAATATCATGTTTAAACATGACTTGTCATTTATTTTTCGGACAATCCCTTTTACCACTTCACTATTAAAATTTAAGAAAATAATTGTTCACAGACTCTTACCGTCGTACATGATGGGTACACCAGTCTCGTAATAGACGAGTGCTGGAAACGAGAAGATGCCTATTTCAGCAGCTAGTTTTGCATCACTTGATTTTACGAACTGAATTCCATATTTATCGGTATCATCATCGATCGTTTCCAACTCCTCCAGAATCTCACGACATGTCTCATCATGCTCATCATCTACATTTTACAGAATAATTTAGCAATTGCAGATGTCAATTGACGAAAGAACAAGTTTTCAACCAACTCACAGAAAAATACAGCGAGATGCTCGACATCATTGATCAGGACCTGGAGTGTCTTTCTGTCGACATTCTCGATTACGTCTGGAGTCGATCGTCTAAGCTCCAGTACCCAGTCGAGAATGGCCTCTTCATGCATCATATCACCAGAGTAAATTTGTCGGAATTTGTGGCGGTAAAATGCTAGGGCTGGCAGTCCAGGGAGATCGTATTCTTTATCGATTCCATCATCAGAGATTTTTACGAAATCAATGTCCTCCTCCTCGCACTCATCGTCGATATTCTCCAGTTCCTGGAGGATTTTGTGGCTCTTCTTGTCGCCTTCTTTGTCTATAAAACATAATTACAAATCTATTGCAATTTACCCAGTGAATCATCAATTAATCAATTGTCGCTTACAGAAAAACACAACCACGTGATCATTTTCATCGAGAATGTTCTCCAACATTTTCGAGTTGACTTCCTCAATTTTTCCTGGGATCTCCAGGGTGTTCTCGTCGGTCAACCATGAGAGGACCTCGTCCTCGTCCTCAAGATCTCCACTATAAATCAGTGGTTCCTTATTCCTGAAGAAGGCCAGGGCTGGGAGGGGCTTGATTCCGTACTTTTTAGCTACTACCAGATCTTCTGTCGTCACGAATATGATGCCAGTTTCGTCTAGCTCATCATCAATGTTCTCTAGCTCTTTTAAGACAATCTCGCATTCACCTCCATCATCGCAACGACCACCTGATCAATTCGAAAAATCGTTCATGAAATTATCTGCTTCGATTTTATTAAATTTTAATTTAAAACTCCAAAAAATTAATATTTATTGATATTTATCTACGAAATTCTCGTCAAATCATTGGTAAAACTCACTGAAAAATACAACGACGTATTCATGTTCGTCAATCAGATCAGTGAGAATTTCATCAGTGACTTCCTCGATGGTAGCTGTATTTTTCTGCTCGATCAGCCACTCCAGAACTTCATCTTCATTAAGTAGATCTCCCTCGTAAAGTGCTGGGATCTTATTCTCGAAGTAGACCAAAGTGGGAAGATGATCGATTCCGTACTCCTTGGCCTCGGCGTCGTTGTCAATTCTCAGGATGACAATTCCTTCTTTCTCAAGTTCGTCGTCGATGTTCTCCAGTTCGTTTAAAATCCTCATGTTCTGTTTGTCCTCTTTGTCATCTGGAAATGGCAGACGATTCCAATCAGTTGAGTCCTGGATTCTTGGAGAATCAATGGGTTATGGAGACTTACATCAGATTACTTACAAAACAGAACAGCCAGGTACTCTGTGCTCTCAATTAGCTTTTCCATCATCTCGTCAGTCACTTCAGGAATCTCCCGGTGCTTTTTCTGGTGAAGGAGCCAGCCCAGGAGCTGGTCTTCGTTCATCAGATCACCTGGAACCAGAGGGAGTTTTTTTTTTTTTTTTCTTTTTTTTTTTCTTTACAAATTAATGATTCATTTGTTATATATTAAAATATAAATGTAACATTCTGTTTCTCACCATCATACATATGAGGGATTCCTCGTTCAAAGAGCACAAGAGCAGGGAATGTATCAATTCCATACTCCTTGGCCTCCTCGTCATCATCAATCTTCACAAATGCAATGTCATGTTCATCACAGTCGTCATCAATGTTCTCCAATTCAGTGACTATTTTCTGACTCTTCTTCTGGTCCTTGTCATCTGTACGCACAATTACATTCTTTCAATCTTCTTTTTCAAAAAATAAAGGTCAGCTATCATAAAATGTACAAATTTACACACAAAATAAAACAGCAACGTGCGGCATCTTTTGAATCACCATGTCTAACATTTCGTCAGTGATGTCTTCAATCTGGTCAGATGCCTGCTGCTGCTCCAGCCACTTGAGAACTTTCTCCTCATCCTCAAGATTGCCCTCATAAATGGTAGGAATTCCCTTTTCAAAGTATATCAGTGTTGGTGTCTTTTCTATACCGTATTCCTCGGCCTCTTCGGCGTTATCGATCTTCACAAAGACGATCCCCAGCTGATCGCACTCGTCGTCGATATTCTCCAGCTCGTTGAGAACCCGTTGGGACTTGCGCTCGTTGTTGTCGTCTAAAATAATTCATTTATCATTTGGATTCATCAAAATTTTTCCTCTTACAAAAAACATGGAAGGAAAAATCTGTTCAAATCTATGATTGAAGAGTTACAGAAGATAATTACAATAATTATTTTCAATTGTGAATTTTGAATATGTCATGAATTTTTGAGAAATTTTACAATTAATTTTTTTCTCATTGCTATGAAAAACTTACAAAAAAGGACTGCAATGGTTTTTCCTTCTTTAACGAGACGATCCAACATCTCATCAGTGACGTCCTCGATCTCATCCTTTTCCAACTGAGAAAGTAGCCACTCGAGAATTTCATCCTCATTCTCAACATCACCTAATATATTTAAAATCAATTTAACCTAGCACAGAACTACCAAAAAAAAAAACGAAGACAAAGAGATGAATTCATCAGGCCAAATAGTTGGAGATGAATTCCTGTCAGTGCATCGCCTCTAATAAAGCAGAGTGATTATTTGACGATTATATTTACCGTCATAAACATTTGGAATCTGTCGTTCGAAGTAGACGATTGCTGGAACACTGTCAATACCAAAATCCTTGGCGGCTTTGTCATCGTCAATTTTCACGAATTGGATGCCATGCTTATCAAGATCATCATCGATCTTCTCCAGCTCAGTCAGCACCTGCATTGAGTCGTCATCTCCATGATCATCTGGAGAAGACATAGGCAATTAATTGACAGAAAATTCCACCTGCTTTCCCTGACAAATGTATTCCTTTTATTTCTATTGGAAAAATAACTCACAGAAGAGGACGACCAGATTGTCCATATTTCCGATGAGAGTATTCAGGGTCTTAGCTGTGACATCTTCGATTACATCTTCCTCATCTCCAGTGCTCTTATTGGAGACCAACCATTCGAGGACGTCCTCCTCCTTGCTCAGTTCATCTTAAAAAAAAAATAATGTAAAAACAATTCAAATTTTTCTGAAAAAATCAAGAGAGACTTACGTTCGTAGATGATTGGTATCTGATGCCGGTAATAAACCAAAGCCGGAAGTGTTCCCAAATTATATTCCTCAGCAAGTTCTTCATCTGCTATTTTAACGAATCCAATCCCTAACTGATCAGCTTCATCATCTATGTTCTCCAGCTCCTGCAATGCCTTTGCGCACTTCTTGCAGTCCGGTTTGTCTGTCCCATTCCAAATCAATTACTCATATTACTGATGCGTTGTTTGACATGTTGATTTATTATTATTATTATTATTATTATTATTATTATTATTATTATTATTATTATTATTATTATTATTGGGGAGATTATACACAGTTAATGCAGTCATGACCAAAGCAGGGTAGAAAAAAAATGAAAAAAAAAGCATGCATATTCACAAGTGTCTGATGCCGAGTGGAAAAGGATTCTCTTTTTTTTTTTCTTTTCTCTTTTCTACTCTTTCTTAGAGCGGACAATTGAGGTGTTGCATGAGTTTCAGATTGAAATTTTATTCAATTCCTTTTGATTTATTTGTAAAGGAAATCTCATGTGAAATGCCAATTGCATATTTTTCAAATAACATGAATACTTACTGGAACCAGCACCTGTGCACCGCTCCGTATTCGGACCTGACAGATGAAATACACACAAAAATATTTTCGTAAGAAACAACAAACGAAAAAAAATAATGGAAACAGTGTGCGACATTAATGGTTCATTCGAAACATCGCACGATCCATGGACTCGTTTCTTTTCCTGATAAATTTACATGCAAATTTAGGGCTCAACCAGTAAACGAACAATTGATTAAATTCATATCTTCCGCATGTACAGAAGCCAGAAACAATTTAAACAGAGACGGACGAACATGGACATTTCAATAAATAAATATTTTCGAATTGTTGTCTTCATTTTTTCATTGAGAATTTTTCCACTCACAGAAGAGTACTGCGACGAATTCGGTGTCCTCCACAATTTTTCCTAGGATTTTTGCATTCACCTCTTCGATCCTGTCAGGAAGATCCATTGCCTCCAGACTCGTTAGGAAGTCTAGGACACTTTCTTCGTCCATCAAATCACCTATCGACGAAAATTCCCGGACATAATTATTTATAAATCTAAAGTTGTTGGGAATTCCATGGAAAATATGATTGTAATTCTCAACAGATTGACAGTGAATCGGATTTAAGGGGATAATGGAACTTATGAAATTTGTCTTGGGATGGGATTAATTAATTGGTTGTTGAACTGAACTGATATGATTGAAATACCTTCGTAAATAATTGGCTCCTTCTCCCTAAAGTACGTGAGTGCTGGAAAATTTTTAATTCCATATTGTTTTGCCAGGCGTTTGTCATTAATTTTCACAAAGTCAACACCGAATGTGTCAGTGTCGTCGTCGATTTTCTCGAGCTCGGCAAGAACTTTATCGCACGTTGTACAGCTCCTTGCATCTATAAAAATCATTTCCATTACAATTCAAAGATATTCCGGGCAGCTTTCAATTGTATTGTTACCACTACAACTCAATCATCTAAATTAAAATAAATCATATGAAAACCTAAATAGTGACGATTAAAAATAAAGACAAAAATTTTCAGTAAAAGTTAACGGTTTTTCACATTTTTCCACCTTCAATCAATTCAATACAATAAAATAATAATCTAGAGCGTTTAAATTTTTGATTAATGACCGATAATTTACTTGACGCAAGTATGATTTTTTATTTGCAATTGATAGACTTTTTGGAGAGGTAATTTTTTATTTGGAGGTAATTATCCAGGATTATGGTATAACCATTGCATCGTACATTAACGTTGTAAAATAGACAAGCTGGTGGTGAATAAATAAAGAGGATTCCACCGGTGGGTTTTTGTAACCCAACACCTTCTACTTGTACCGTCCAATAATTGCTAACGAGCGCAAGCGCAACTCAAATTGCAGAGCACACAAAATGGTTCTTCACCAATGAAGAGAGGGTATATGTGGGTTGGTACAAACCAAAGAACGGCCAAGGCTTTGGCAGAGACCGAAATACACATTTCCATAATTTTGCTCTTTTTCATAACTTAGATTATCACTTCAGGGCTCAATTCAATTCAATTCTCCCTATCGAACCTATCATTTTATCATTTTATCATTTTATCATTTTATCATTTTATCCCATCCAATAATCCATCTACATTTTTCTTCAAAAATTATTACAATAATTACAATAGTAATTATCCCGTAATTTTGAATTCATTGAACTAGTCTTCCGTAACTCCTGAGTGAAAAATATATCAGTCTCTGCGCATGTCTCGGAATTGATATTATAACGCTGGATATAACTTGCCATCGCTCTCAAAAAGCAAATTTGCGCGGGTGGAGGTGTTCATCACCGACCTTCTCCCTCCATCTACAACTTCTTTTTTTCTTCTTTTTTCCCTATTTATTGAAATGATACATTTATGAATTCGACATACTGAAATAGTAACGATGTTGAATAAAAGATGCCAAACTGCGTGACTTATTGGTTTGAGATTGAGAGCAAAACGGCGATTAAAAATAAAACAAATCTACCGTATGACATTTTTCAAATGTTCTTTTGTACTTGTAAAAAAAATATATATATATCCCCACAATCTGTTATTACCCCCAAACTCTTAGTCTGAAGCCGGAAATTTCTCTCGGCTTCGCTCCGAAATTCAAAAGTGAACGCATTTAGACTAACTTTTTCGACCGGCACACATTTGGCCCGGGGTAACTCGAGGCGTCGACAATGTCATCTTCTTTTTTCATGTTTCTTAACGGAGAGGGTGTCGATAGATCCACGAAAGTGGCTATTAAACCAATTACCCAAAACAAATCAACTGATTGCCTCGAGAATTGTCAGCGCACCGGGTGATTGCTGCCTCACCCACGATGGAGGGGATAGCAAGAGGAAGTGGTACCCTGTTTGGTTCATCAATGGATCGAATAAAATTGTTAAAAAATTGAAAACCAATGTTTTCCGGACGAAACCATCATCGGGAGAACCAAATCACCGAGGGAAAGGGGAAAGGGGAAAGGGGAAAGGGGAATATTTCGAGTGGGACAGAGGATAAAACGGCGCGGTGCCAAAATAACTTTGTACGTATTCTAAAAGCGGTGCAGGCCACTGTGGGTAAACGGCTTCGTCTATGGCTAGACCTTGTTGCTCTTCATCCCAAGAGAAAAAAAAAAAGTTAAAAGCCCAATGGAACGATCCCACAAGCCCCAAAAAGACAATCATCAACCAAAAGTATGCATATCATTGATCATCAATTTGGAGGCAGCAAAACGATAGCAGCTCAAGACCAATCCAATCTGCCAATCTGCCAATCTGCCAATCTGATAATCTACCAATTCCACAATTCCATCCAATTATCTCGAAAATCTCGACAATTATCAGTCGAACGTGAAAATTTTATACGACTGTTTTGTCAGAGAATGAAATATTTGGTAAAATTGGTGTTATGTCTTATACAGCGTCAGATGGTACAGGGAAATGTGGAATTGTAGAAATGTGAAAAGTTTCAAATTTGAAAAAGTGATAATGGATTATGGAATTTTTGCACGTGCATTTGAGGTGAAATGTACTTACACCAGTAAACAGCAACAAAATCCTTGTCATTTAATATGCGCTCGAGTTGTTTAGCGTTGACCTCCTCAATAACCGGTTCGCTGTCTCTTCCTTGGTGATGCTGTCCTGTTGTCACTGTCTTGCCGTATTGGATATTCTCTCTACCAGCGTGCAATGTATCCTGTTTATTTATCTTGGTACTGCCGGCATTTTGACACGTGTAAATTAATACAACTAGGATAATGAGTAATTTAATGAGGAGGTCACTGGGCCTCGTCATCGTCGTCCGCCACTGATGGCAGCGCAACGTCGAAACGTCGTTCGTCCTCGACATCGTCACACTAACTGCCAAGTACCCAAATCGACGTACCCCGGGGGGGCCAATTTTATTTTTAATTCTTTTACCCACCACTTTCAACTGACTAAACTACACACATTAGCTACACCTTACAACGCCCGCGCAATCGCCGTTTCTATCTCATTTTTTTATACTTCATTCTTCCATTCATAATTTCTCACTCTTTTTAATCAAAATTTTATTATATTTTAACAATTGTTCACTCAAACAAATTCAATTCTGCCATACTCATTGTCATTTTCCATATAACGAGAAATCATTATGATAAATAATAAATAATCACTTGAAGGTAATCACTTTAGTAATTATCACCCATATATATTTATTAATCATATTAACTCGATTAATCCATTGATAATCCTCTATTTTTTCTAATAAATTAATAATAAAATAAACAGACAGCATTGAATTTGGCACAAGTGTCACACAGTTTAAAATTTTGTCACAGTCTTGTCACAAAATTAATCATCTCTCACTCATTAAGTTTCAAAGCAATTGAATAATTATGATAGAAAATTCAAATAAAATAATAGTGGAATATCACTGAGGGTGCGGTTGTGAAAAAATGCAATAAATAAATGTCAGGGGTTAGTGAGGAGGTGAAACAGATATCGGTCTTACTCGAAGATAATTCAGCAATTATCAGACTTTATTCCCAAATTATTGTGGGTTATTGGAGAGAAAAATGTTGGGCTGTTTGGTGGGGGTCGGCGTCTCGCAATACCTTCCTGATGCTCGGCCTCAGAAACTGCCAATCAGTTTCAATTCCGACACCATGAAGACAACTCCTTCTTTGGACATCGTCATTGTTGGGGGTGGACTGGTATAATTTTTTATCGCACTTCATTTTTCACTTTATTAGTGGCGATTTTTAAATTTTTTGCATTTTCAGGTGGGGGGATTGGCTGCATGCGCACTTGCCAAACGGGGACATTCCATTCGGCTCTATGAGTATCGCTCTGGTAATTTTTTTTATCAACTCTGCTTATTCAATCCTACAAAATTACAGAATATTATTATTCTACCAAATCTTTGTAAGTGTTTCCAAGTGTTTTATCAAAAATTGTCAATTTTTAATTATTATAAATCAATTGAATCTAGATCGGATTAATGGCTCGATAACTATACGACGACGACGTTTAATTCGGCTGTTATTGTGTCCAAATCTCACTGATGACACAATATCACAATATCTCTGCAAATTTCATATCTCCTGAAATTATTATTATTATGATTATTATTATTTTTTATTATTATTTTTTTTTTCTAATCATATTTTGGCCTTATATACAAGAGTTCATTTCATCGCTTTCCAAATAATCATCAAGAATTTGCATGAAGAATTTTATAATTGCAATTTGTATTTTCTATTTTCACATGAAGACATCCGAGTGGAAGAATCTAGCGGCCAGTCAATCGACCTCGCCCTATCCGTTCGAGGAAGAGAAGCCCTAAAATTAGTTGGACTTGAAGAGAAAATTGTTAATCATCATGGAATAGCGATGAAAGGGCGAATGTTGCACGGCAAAGACGGAAGTTTGCGAGAAATGATCTACGACAGTGTGAAAAAAAACGTAAGTCAATCATCTGCAATTATTCCCACGCATCATTAATCAATTCAAATAATTGTCATCACTACAATTTATTTTTTTTTTTATTCCAGTGCATTTATTCTGTAAGTCGCAAATATTTGAATCAAGTTCTTCTGGATGGTGAGTTTGTTATTCTTATTGTGTAATTCATCATCTTTACATGCTCTATTATCAATGGAGAATATATTATTTCACGTCTAGTCTAGAAGCCATTCAAAAAGATATCACATTTCACCTGAATAAAATTAAAGCACACTAACACACACCCTCACCCTCTCCACCGACAATCCACCCTGTTCACCTTCTATGGTCATTGAACTCTCCCCTACACCTGAAATCCGATTCGCTTTTGCGGTATTGCAATTCTCACTGCACCCGTTCCTTCAATTATATCAATAACAATATGATATATTGTTTCAAATAATATATTACATTTCATGAATTTGTGCCGTGGCAAATGAATTTTTCAATTCCATCTCGTGGTTTTGATTTTGTGCCACAGCTGCTGATCAATATTCATCGGTGACCCTAATTTTCAATAAAAAATTGATTGACGCTGATTTGGATCATGGAAAACTGAAATTCATTGAGTAAGAAGTGATTTTTTTTCGTTGTTGCTTCACGAGTTTTCATAATGATTCGCTAATTAATTGCTACAGCATAACTGAAAGTGATAACAGTAACATGAATGAAATATTATATATATCATAATAATGTTCAGCACAAATAATCGAGAAATTGTGGAAGTCAATGCTGATTTAATTATTGGCGCTGATGGGGCGTATTCTACCGTGAGAAGAACAATGATGAAACGACCCGGATTTGATTTCTCACAGACTTATATTGAACATGGCTACGTAGAAGTGAATATCCCACCTCGAATGATCGACGAAAAACATTCTAATAAAGGTGTTCAGGTAAGTCCTATTAAAAAAAACCAAAGCACTTTTTTTCAAATGCATTGATGTTTCGATAGTTACTCATTAATCATCTCGTCATATAAATCTCTCTCTGCGATATCTCCATGTGCTGGCAGAAAGGAGAAGAATCACATTTGACCAGACTCAATTTTTTTATTTTACCTTCAATATTTTTCCACCATCTTTACCCATTTCTATTGAGCCTTTTCTTTCAGTTTTTAATAATAATGATTATTGATAAAGATAAATATATTATTACAGTTTTGCATGAGTTCGAAACACCTACACATTTGGCCTCGCGGTAGTTTCATGATGATAGCAATGCCAAACGACGATTACACATTCACCGGAAATTTATTTGCACCTCTCGAGATTTTGAATAGTCTTGATACACCAGAGAAGCTCGTTAAATTTTATGAGCAAGAGTTTCCAGATGTTCTTCCGATAATTGGTAATAAGCAAGCACTGATTGACACGTTCTTCACTGCCAAACCGAAAACACTTATCTCAATTAAATGTAGTCCTTATCATTGCGGTAAGAGTATCATTTTGGGGGACGCTGCCCATGCGATGGTGCCATTTTATGCCCAGGGCATGAACGCTGTAAGTGTGCTTTAGAAAATATATTCTCTAAGTACATTAACCCCAAGTTAATGAGATGAATTTCCCAAATCAATCGGAAATTTATATCAATTCGTGAATTGCAGGCATTTGAGGATGTCGTTCTGCTGGATGAATTATTAGATCATTACAAAGATGACATAAATAAAGCCCTCCCAGCCTTCTCCAGACACAGATGTTCAGATGCCCATGCCATATGCGATCTTGCCATGTATAATTACATCGAGGTAAATTCTCCACAATATGAACGTTTTTTTTTTTATATATAGTAAGAACATATATAATCATTTTGACTCCATATTTTTCATTCTCTTCATATACCATGTACCAATTATTTGAGCGCTCTTGAAAATAATTTCGTTCTCATTTCGCTCATTTGTCACCCAGATGCGTGATTTGGTCATGAGAAAATCGTTCGTTGCCCGAAGAAATCTAGATACAATCCTCCACCGACTCTGGCCCAACAGTTGGCTCCCACTCTACAGCACCATTCACTTCTCTCGCATGAAATTCCGGGATTGCATTGCAAATCGCGAATGGCAGAACAAAGTTTGTTGACTTCACTGCTGACATGTAGGTAGTCTTTGGGCTTTAAACATTTTTATATTTTTTCCATAGGTACTGAGCAGATGTTTATGGTGTCTGGGTCTTCTCACTCTCGCTATTTTCATCGCATCAGCGACTCTTCCCTCCATCGCCTATTGATCGAAGGAAAAAAAAAAATCTATCCTGATAATTATTCAGAGTACCGCCCCCCACATTCCATGGAGTTGTTTCAATGTACGTCCTAATTTTAATTGTTTCGTGCATTTGTCACGCAGAACATATTAAATTAATATTAGAAGATCATTGGAGAGAGTATTTAGAGAAAATACTTCCTACTACAAATAAAGATATTGCAATGAAAAATCATCAAGCTTTATTCATAAACAGTCTTTTTGAAGGCATTTTTTTTTGTATCACTGGATATTGAGTTTGATCTTGTCAGGATTATCCAAATACTTGTGTTTCTCCGTCTCGAAAAACTTGGTCAGCTTTTCCATAAATTCCATGTGGTATTCATCCACTTGTTCCTGCGTTGGGTTGACAATTTTTGGCACCTCTAGAGGAGCACCGACTGAATAAAACTCGAAAGTTAATTATAAACATTATACTAATTGGAGTAATGATCTCAAAACTATTGATATTAGAAGGAAACTTCACTAGAACTTTTCTGTTTGAAAAAGTTCCTCAATTTTTACGCCCTCAAATCAATATATTTCGAGATAAATTGAATTGATCAATGCCTTACGATACGATACCTACGACTGTAACTGGTCTCCTTTGTGGAATAAGCCCAAAGGAATATTGAAAAAATCCTCGACCAACAACAATAATCGGCGCAATGCCAATGGCTTTCCGAATGTAATTCTGAACTTTACCAAGAAATGAATCAGTGCTCAGTTGGATCTGATCATAAAGATCGGTCTCACCGAATGAGAAAACTGGCACTAGGGGCGTCCTAGCAAAAAAAAAAAAGAAATTCAACTCATGAAATCAAGAGAGATTTCTAGTGAAACCATTCAACCACTAGAAGGAAATGCCAAAAGACCCTTTCTCATGGAAAAAACAAAAAATTAATTGGCTATAAAAACGGCACCATAAGATTTGTGCGTAAAATCGACCAATTAAATCGTACTCAAGATAAATTAATTTTTTCTTTTTACCCCGTCTTGAGTGCAACTCTGACAAATCCTTTTCTTCTCTTGAGAACGAGATCATATGTCGAGGGTTTGCACTTGAAGGACTCAGCAGCTCCTCCAACGACCAAAACAACAGCTGTATTTTTTTCATTCTTATCTTTCGGCCGAAGGAGATATTCCAGACTCTCAGAGCAGACGCCACAAGCTCCGAAGCTGTACGCAAATTCCCTGAAGAAAGGTATCCTGAAGTGCTGATCCAGAGTCACCATTCTGGGATCTAATCCCGGAAAAATTCTCTTACAATCAAGATGATCGGTGGAAAATGCTGCAAAAGCCCCGGTTGCCAAGACTCCATGAGGAAATGAACACAATAAATAATTCCTCGACGGTTCTAAATCAACGGTTTTCATCAATTTTACTGGGAAATAAGCGCAGAAATATCGCCACCACAGTGAATTCCTCATCCACAGGATCCACCGGTCACTGCAATCAGAGATCACAAATCAAATAAATAATTTACTGCACAAAATCGGTTGACAATCAATTCTTTTATGGCACTCAATTTATCTGATCTCAAATTATCATACAAGAATCTTTAAAGATCATTAAAAGGTGGATTTTTTTTTCACAATTATTCAATTTTGACATCCCAATGAAAGCTTAGTAATCAATCAAATTTAAATGCAATTCTTTGATCCCTAGTTAAAAGAGAAATTAATAGTAAATGATAATGATTGTTCTGAATGAGTGGGAAATCGAGTGCGATAATTTGATTTTTATTAAGTTTATCTGCTAAACTCTGTTAACTGCTGCTATTTTATTAAATATTACCTGCGTCCCCCTCGTTTGTACGTATCCCAATCGAGGTAGAACATCCAGCATAGGTAAATTAGGGTGATGTATCTTAACCATTCCCCAAATATTAGACAATAAAATGTGATCATCCATCCGATAAAACTGCCAAATGCCAGAGCGCAAAACCACGCAAAAGCAGCTAGAGTTTGTAGACGTCTCTCCAGGGGTACCCTGAGTGGTGCAAATTTCACACCCATCAACTCCATGCGCGAATTCATCCAATCCACAAGTTGTTCTCAACAACTGGCGTTTTTAGCACGAAATATCTTTACGACTTTATAATTAGAACGCGTCACTGGCATTTACGCGTCTCAACACGCTTTCGTCTTCGATCCCTGAAATAAATTTCACTCAAGGCATTTTCTATCAGAATAAAAAATCGCAAATTTCTGCACAAATCATTGATTTTTGCATAATTTATCCGGGGAAAAAATTCGAATGGAACTGAATCTGTTGTTCCATCACGTGTGTAGTGACGCATGTGCCATGTGCCACCTATAGATATGAATAATAAGATACCCAGGTATATAAAAAACTACAGTGAGTGGAAAAAATTCGACAACAAATATTTATATTTGCTCGAAATATAAATATGCATAAAAAATTCAAGTGTATAAATAACAAAAATATAAACTCACCAGTTTGTCTTTTTTTTTTTTTTTTTCTTTTTTTCTTCCTAGAATAGAGAATCCTTGAAATTATTGCTGGATACCTCGGGTTATTATTATCTTATCATTCAGCGGATGGAACGACCACTGAATGCCCGAAGCGGGACCGAAACGGAAAAATGGGCCCCGTATCTCGCGGTCGAGTTGAAAATACGTCACACGACTCTGCTTAATCTCAAAGTCTGGATTATCAATGGGGACAATTTTATTGAGTCTAAAGATTGAGTACGAGAAATGTATGGGTCGCACGCAGAATTGTAAATGTCTAGTTGTTTTGCGAATTTCGCATGATCGTAAAACGCAATTATCCAACTTACAGGATAATGCAGAATTATTGAAGTTATTGCATAATGTAGGATAGGAAGACACGGGAAAATTTTTTTTTTCCACCTTGCAATGAGAATTTTACAAGTGTCAGACTGTTATTTTCAGCTATACATTTTCTCCTAGAAAAGGAGCAATAATGAAATTTTTCATTTTGCATTTTTAGCAATTTTTCCACCATTTTGAGAATAAAACATGAAATTAATCCAGTGAAATATTTTTAAATCAATTTATTTATTTTTCTTCTAGAATAAATGTTGTGTTTTTAATTAATTCATATCCTTCTCAATTAATAATCACCGCTTTTCTATACAATATACATTATTTATAATTCGAAATAACAACAATGTCAAAATGTGAAGAGGAAAAAAAATTGTACTATTTTTATATGTCACTCTCTCATGCAATCATTCACATATACAACCTAAGAAAGTTAATGACAACTGCAAACACGTAATCATTTATCAACGAGCAATGGAATTATTTGTAATTTCATGGGAACAATAATTTTAAAAAATTCAAATACAACCAATGGATGCATAACAAAAAAAAAATATATACGTCAAGATGGAAAATTTATATTTCATGGAAAACTATCCTTATTCTTAAACGATCATGAACTTTCAATTGATGGAAATGAGTTCGAGATCATAAATATGTAACAATCGATGGATTGTCAAATTGATCGAGTTGCAATTAGGTCGAGTTAAATGAAAGTTCAATCTGTAGACCTGATATTTGTTTATAAATTTACGGGGTTTTCTCTGAGTGTTTCACCTTCAATCGATATTTCCATGAGCTAATGAATTGATTAATCGAAATTTGTCAATTAATCACTGGAATGAGAAAATTCTGAGAGTCTAATTACCAATGAATTTGAAATAACGTATGAAAAAAAGGGAAAAAAACGACCATTGAACCTGACGGTTTTCCATCAAAATTCCATTCAAGTTCTGGTCAAATTTCTTTGAGAAAGTGTCAAGTTTTAAGAGTTAATTAAGTATTAATAAGCCAACTAAATCAACTTGTCCCACTGGGACAACAAATTTATCTTGTTGTTTCAATTAATTAAGGATATCAAAAGAATAAAGTAATGACTGTGACAGACAAAAATCAGTCGATTGGCCAACATAAACGCGAGACGCATTTTATATATTAATTAATAGTATTTCTCTCTTTAACTTTATTTCATTAATCGTCAACAACGGCGCGGCCACTACGAATAAGTGGCGCCAAGCTCTTTTTACATTTTCCATGCTGCTTTACCGAGCCAATTGTTATTTTTTAATGAAATCACTTCAATGAAGTTCAAATTAAAATATATTTTAGTTGAATTCTTTTATGCCATCGGTGCCCGTAATCACGCGATTCTAACCTCGCTTCGCTCGGTTAAATCGCGGATTCCGGGCGCAATGACATAAAATTTTGTATGAAACGCGTGCGTAATATATTTTTCGACTCGTGGGATTGTAAAACTCGCCTTCGGCTCGTGTTACAAACCTCCCACGAGTCAAAAAATATATTCCGCACGTGTTGCATAATATACTATTTTTTTTTATACTGTTATTATCAATCTGTGTTATAATAGAATCGTCGAGAAATCAATGAAAATAAACAGAAATTTAATGAAATCCTTCAAATAGAAATTCAGAATTTTTCTTCTGGAAATTCATGTCACTCTACAAAATCTCATTGTCAAATTGGTAATCATTTGTATTATTTCTCTCCCAAAAATCCATCTAAACTTCATTCTCTAAATTAATTAGACGTCTCCGCACACATTTACATAATAAACCCTTCAATTCCGGATTCATCTACTTCAATTTCAACTCCAACTCCGGGTGAACGCTGTAATAGCAAAGTCAATTAATAAAATATTGATGATGTACAACTCAATTGCATAGACTCTTTTTTTCAACGTTTATCTTCAGGTGTGTTTAATACCATTTGTATTTCACTATAACCACAATATTGCCACGCGGTTTTTATGTAATTTCCATAACACAGCGACAAATTACCCACCCCAGCCCATCTACACTCTATAGGTAATCTAAGATATTGACGACGTGCACATCTTTGTTTTGTTGAAAAAAATGAGGTCATACTGTTAGAGCTACAACAACGAACGTTTCCAGGGTAACTCCATTTTTTTCATTGCACCTTATTCATTTATTTGTTTATTTATTTATTTATTTATTTATTTATTCATTCATTTATTTATTTATTTATTTATTTATTTTTTGATAAAATGAGGCTCGCGCAACGTCACAAAAATACTGATTCACCGATATTGCTTGGCAGTCAATAATATTTAATTTTTATCTAATTCTTTAAACGTTTGTGTCTATCAGCTAATGGTTTTAGTCGATGATATTGGGTTTTTGCATAAGACCAAATTTGCTCTTCAAATTCCAATGTCAAAACTTTAAAAAAAATTACCGCTAATATCTAGCAATATATAATAACAATAATTGAAAATAATAATTGATAGTTATAATAATTACAATTGTTTTCTTCGTGATGAGAGATATTTTCAATATTTGGTAAATGTGGGGTTTAGGTCCACCAAAAAACAAAAATCATTGAAATGTGATGTTCTTTTGTTAACATGTGGTGTCTTTAGCGGTGTATTAAATGTCATATCTCCCACACTTATTCTTTCCGGATAAAAAGGTGATCAGATCCTTAATCATGTGATGGAAACCCTTTCAACTAAATAAAAAACATCCAGAATGGTTTGGTGGACCTGAACTACACATTTACCAAATATTCCATTGATTATTGAATTACGAATATTTGAAAAATTTCTCAATTGCAAATTTTTCTTGAAAACTCACTCATTATTTTTAATGTATTATTGTTATAATAATTGTTGGTTGTCCCATACAAGAAGCCAATAATGTCGAGGAAGGTCAGAATGCTCTACTCGTCACATCCTCCAGCGAAGGAATCTTAATTAACCAAGTCTAAATCGTTATGTTTCTAATTTGGACAATACCTGGGGATAATATTGGGAGGGTGAAAAAATGGTGTTTCACGGTTATTCGGTTCTCTCTTCGCGTGCAAAGGCAAATTCAAAGGCGACGCGGACATTATTAAATTTACGGGAGTTTTTTTTTTTTTTATATATATATATATATGAAGTGGGAATTTTTATTTTATTGTTGTCACCTCATAGCGGTTACGTTAACGACGAGGGGGACTGGTCTGGCTGGTAATATCTCATTCCGTTTATCTGTAAAATGCACAGATTATTAGAATGGAAAAACTGGTAGTATCCAACAAGGAATTTTTAAATGATTCATAGAATTTCATGAAAAAATAAAAAAAAAACAAGCAAATTCACTATAAAATAATCAATTATTCCTCTTAAACTCTTCATTAGTTGCGCCATTGAGATGAATAACAGAAAATATCAGCAGAATTTTGAATAGAGATCCGATAAAATTGTGCAATGAATTCGATAGGTTTTTTTTTTTTTAATTCAATTATTCAAGTGAAACTTCTTTGGCGAAAGTAGTGAAATAAAACATGGTCACGAGAATGGAGAGTGAAAGTAACGCAATCAACGTGACATGAAAATGACATATCATGAAAATACTCACCGTCATATCATATTCGGTGATATAAGCTGGAATTTCCAATTGATCCGGTGACATGACTTCATACAGGTATTCGACACCTGGCAGATTATGAACTTTTTGCTTGATGGCAGGTGCCATGAAGGTCGTGAACCACCACGTCATCATCTGAAGTCATCCCAAGAAAATTGATCAAATGCTATAATCAGTTCTTTTGGTAAAAAGTAATTGGACACTTGAAATTCAAAAAAATTTCGTTCTCCGAGTACTCGATTTGCTCGGCAATTTTTGTAATTTTTTTCCCACCGTGCAAATTACACTTGAATGTTTCACCGTTTGAGTCACAAGGTCAGCAATTACAACGCAAATTGCTCTTTTATCACTCGTGAGAAATCTTCTCGTAATAAATTAGAGTTTCCTGTGGCATTTCATCGGTTTACCGTATAAATTTTTTATGATTTTTATGATGAATATTTACGAACCTTGGTCCAGAAGGTGGGATGAACGATGTAAAAATGTTTGAGATGCTTCTTATATCTGAAAATAAAATCATAAAGCCATAAATCACTGGCTCAACTCAGTGGCATTTGTTTAATCAACTTAGTACACAAATTTCAGTAGTGAGGATTTTCTATTCATGTCTGAGGAACTCAATAAACTTAGTAATTCAGGGTGGTGGAGTCGAAAATTTCTTGGTAAATACGTCTACCCACGTCACTTGACGCACATGACGTACAAAATATAATCCGTCATACATATATTTGTTTTTTTTTTCAATGTTTTCATTTATAATTATAACGTGAGCATTGGTATCCTCATTGAAAAAAAAAAATTATAAAAAAGAAACGGGGAAAAACAACAACAAATACATAAAATATCAATGTAAAAACAGAAACAGCTGGAATTTAATTATTATAGTGTTATGTGAAGCTGAATTTTAATTAAGGGGGGATAAGAGGAAGTGAATAAATATTCATTAAACTTTATCTTCATTTCTGGTTCTCTCGATGAGTAAAATAGATAAATAGTAGATTATAGGATAGGAATTTATAATTATTGAACTGGCTTAGGTTTTTCATAAAATGAATTTCTTTGAAAACTCAAAGGGGGGAAATAAAATTATCATGAAATTGTAACATGCCAACTCACTTGTAAGGAAGCACATTGTACACTTCTCTCAGCCAATGAAAACTTGGATAGTTGTTGCTTGTTGTTAAAGTATGAAAGTAGGCTATGACGTAGTCACCCTTGACAATTGGATCCAGTAACTGAATCAAGTAGAGTAAGGCCTGGGAAATCGATAGCTTATATGTAATATCGAGTATGAATACGTATGAATAATATATGAATGAATTGAATTTTTTCAACGTCGCAATACAAAACCAATGGATTTTTTTTATGACTAAATATGTGTTTATCAATGTTTTGATTAACTATCTGCGGACAGATATGATGTGTGGTGTTATGCATGAATTTATCTGAATTCAAGTTGTCTTTAAACACAAATACATGAATACCTCATTGAATACTTCAATGAGGTATTCGTTGGGTGAGTTTCAAAATTTCAACTTTTTTTTCTTTACCCGTCACGTGAAATCAATCTTTTGGGACATATTTGGGAGATACATGCTAATTAATTTGTTTATAAATGATGTGAACGGGCAAATCCGATCGATAATTAATGAAAATATCTGGAGAAGGAAGGATATAGTGATTTTTCCTCAATTTGCTCTTGAATACGTAAACAGAAGTATATGAATCTCAGAACATCGCCCTTGAATCCAGCTAGATTCCGTTAATCTTTATTCAATTGTGTTCCCAGTATTTATACCTGTATTTAAAGAACAATAAGTTATGAAACTCCAAACAATGCATGAGGAAATATTGATATGATCAAATGACTGCCAGCATTGTCAATGCAAGTTAATATCATTGAGATTGTTAACTATGTTGCTTATTATTCCCTTACAAATCAAGTGGAAGTTCTGCTGGACAAATGAAAGATAAAATAACACCAAGTAGAAGTAATTGATTGCTCATTCAATTAACTCTGACAAAGTTCTTTGATTATCGTACCGAAATTGTATATTTAGACATGATAATAGCAGCATAAACTTTAACGTCTCGTACTCCTCTATTTTTGTATCACCGAGGGAATATCGATCCTGAGTTCGTGACGCTCTGAGTAAATTGTAACCGACCTATAATCCAAAGAGGTCACCCAACTGGCATCAACCCCTCTCATTCACGTCACGTGTCTCATTCCCAATCCCATAAATATCGACTTTACCCCGATGTAATGTGAAATCAATATATTCGCATTGATTACCTTATCGAGACTAATTTTCGTGGCTGGAAACCACTTTCCCACGAAGACGATCACTGGTCTTCCCCGTCTATCAACTCCACTCTGGTACAGACAACCGATTCCAGATACTTCAGTCAAATCCTCCGTCTTGGCCCTCCGTAACAATCTTTCGTACCTAAAATTACATCAAGTTACACAAAACAATGAAAATCCATCTGATCTGAATTAATTAAAACTTTATTAATTAAAATATCACTGGAATTAATCTCCACGCCCCAGATTAATCGTCATGCTTCAATTGGCAATTGCCCCACACCCTTACCCCATTTTCCCATTTCCCCATTTCCCCCCCCCCCCCTTTTTGTAATAGTACATCAATATTTTTCTCCACGCGATTAAAATCACTCACTCCCTCACAATTCATAAATTTCTGAGTAATTCAAAACCGATAGTGAGCGATTTGAATGATTTTTAAAACACACCCACCATTCAAGTCGAAAATCATTCCTCGATTATTCATGTCGACCGATTCTTGACGGATAAATAATAATAAAAGCATTTGGGGGATATCGAGCGATTTAAGGTCAAGAGCACGTCAACTTTTAATTTAGCTAATTAACGCACCGGGGCTGTAGTCGCAAGGTCAATGGACCTTATAGTCGTGAGGTTTCGAACATGGATCATGGAAAGACGACCAATTGATATCCATCGACGAGCGATAAATAATAATTGTTGCTAATAGAGAGAAATGGATGAAATCGTATTGGGCCTATACTATACGATTGGCCATTTTTAGGTAAGACCCACCGATCCTCATCGTCATCCTCGTCCAGTCGAACATCCGTCATGTCAATCATCACCATTTTATCGAATATTATTTACTCAGCAAATACTATTGCCACAGATGGAAAATTCACTGAGATTTAATAGCAAATTTAAGATGAGATGAGCTGATTGTTCAACCAAATTGCGATATGACTCTATAAAAAAAAAAAATACTTGGTGAAAGCCACGAAAGAGCTATTCGTCTTCTGCGCCTTCCCGAAAGTGACTGACTCGATGGTCGCGCTTGCGCTCGTTATGAAAGTTTAAGTTGAAAAAGCCCCGACCAAATGACGTCCAATCGACGTTCAAGCGCCGACGTAGAAGTCTGCGTCATTAGAGAAAGAGATGATTGTTGGAACGCAATAGAGCAATTGGTTAATTCGGGCAATATATTGGGAATCATTCTGAAAAGAATTGATTGATTGATTGATTGATTGATTGATTGAATCACCGATCAATCTGGAAGGCTTCCCTCCACCACCTCCTGGAACTTATCATCACGCTGACGTGAAGAAATAGGCTGTTTTTTGAGTTTTATCATTATTCAATTATTCAGCTGGCATTATCGTTCCGTCCTTCTTTTGGATTTCATCAAAAAATTTTATGGATATTCAAAAAATTTGGAAAAATGTACAAAAAACTGACAAGTCAAGTGTTGAATAATTCTTCTATTGGTATAAAAGCAACTTTTCCCTCACCAACCAATTGTAGAGTACTAGAGTAATTCGATCTTGAAAAAAATTAAAATAAAAATAGAAGAAATTTGATTTATAAAAGAATAATAAAAATAATAATGAATGACTCAGTAAAATATTTAAAGAGGTTGAATAATGGAGACAACCAGACAATTTCCGCAGACTTTTTTGCTAAACAATAATTATTTATAATAAATCCTCCCATTTGAATATTCAGAATGGCTTGAACTGTTTTATCATTTAGGACGCGGAATTTTACAAAATAAACCGAGAACTCGTGTCAGATGGTGGTCATTAGAATGGAAATAAAGCTGAATCTATCAGGGAAAATGAAGAAAAGTGATAAAAGAAAATTGCTGATGGACTCACCTCTCCTTCTGCTGCATCTGCTTGAGCATTATGTCAGCGAGTGGATCAGTAAGTGGTCTTTCACCCAATAACCGCTGTCTATCCAAATCCCCTTGCATTTGGGTGAAGGCATGTTCACTGAGATTCACTGATGTATCCAACTGACTTGATAATTCAATAGTCTCGTCACCTGTGAAATATCCAATTAAATACATAAGTCCCATAAATGATACCAATTTAAATTCACTCTAAACTATAGGGATCCCTTAATTACGTATTATTATGATTACTGAAGTTATTACTTGATCATATTATTCGGTTGTACAATACTTTTGGTGCAAGTCACTATTTTTAAAAATTTATTTCATTATGAAAGAAGAATCAATGAGGGAAAAAAGTTGTTAAAACTTTTCTTTGAATCTGTTTGAAATAAAAATAATGGATTTTATGAAAAAATAGTAAATGAATAAATAAATAAAACAACTAGCGAGTGATTATTCATTTAATTTTCCATATATCCAGAAAAATTTCAGAAGAAACATTCATCTCAAAATATTCCAGTAAAGTACTTGTAAAAGTACTTGTTCATTGTATTCTTATTGCATTTTTAGTTCAAACAGTATCACTCTCAATAACTGAACCACCGAATGAATTAAAATAAAAAGTGAATCAATTCGATAAAAATTCGATTTAGAAGACAATGATAAAGAAAATTCTATTTTTATAAAAAAATATACGATTTCTTGGAAAGACTAATAACCATAATAATTCAAGTACGATGAAAAATGAAAACCTAATAACAAAAGATTTTTCAGTTACGGCAGAAAGAATTTTTTTTTTTACTCCAAATTGAAATAAATCGAAATTTATGGATTCTAGAAGAAAACATGAAGCGATTATTTTTGTAAGGAGCTTAACGAGCTTAACATAATTATCTAGAAAAACTGTCTGATTAAAGCGAAATAGAATTTACCATGAAGTGTATGTTGTGGATTATCAATAATTCGTATCTGTCGATCTGGCAGCATAGGCTCCCCATCAGACCCCCCAATATCGCTTGGTAACTGCCAGCAGGCATTCTCCTGTTCCTCAATAGTTCTCGGAAAATAAAGGGGCAGGAGAACTTGATAAATGCCCAAATTACATGGCTCTAGTACGAAGACAATGCATGATATCGTATCACTGAATTGCTCTAGAAATCTTCGCACTGTACGTAGTGCAATGTGTGCACCAGCATCTGGTGGATAATTTCGTCTCACTGAATTAATAACGGGTAGTGCAATAGTGCGCAGTCCAAGCTCACGGGATTTTTGGAGAACATTTCGGTAACAACAGTGAAGAGTATTTTGAGCTGCCGTCTGGTATTTAACGTTGTAGATCGGCCCAACTGTATGAATTATATAGCGAGCTGAAAGATTGTGAGCTTGAGTCACTTTTACTTCACCAGTTCTGCATTCTGTAATCATTCGGAAGATTTTTATGATTATTATAACATCACATGGGTAAAATTGACTATTCAAATTAGTTAAATTAGTCCGCTGGAATAATTACTAATGAATTATTTATTTATTTATAATTTTACCATTGACTTCGTTATCAATTTCAATACTGAGTGCTGGACCCGCTTTGGTGAATATTCTTTGGCACGTTGGACTATTGTCGTCCATTGTCTCATTGGTTGGATTCACTACAGCGTCTACTTGTAAAATCGATATATCTCCAGTCCTTTAATTAAAAAAAGTTGGCATTCTGTATAATATTGTAAGACACGGTGAAAAGTCATTTTGATCTATTGAAATGGTGATTGGGATGTGAGAGAGATGTTGCGCCTGTGAATTTTGTGGCTACTAGGTCGAATAATAATGATTTATTATGATAAATAAAGTCGAAATCAGCTGCATCGCAATGGGGATATAAATGGATACATTCGTATTATTTCTCACCATAATGCAATTTTGCAATTTATAAGTGATTGACAAGGAAACGGTGAGTTCGTATGGTGTGTCGGCTCCATCAACGAATTGGAATAGTCCGTGTAATGATGCTGTATCGGTATGTCCGACCATCTCGGTAATGTCTTCACATCGACAATTTCAGGGGCAATATCCAGGGCTTCCATCAGCCTCATTCAGCTATAACGTAACAATAAAAAAAAATGTCAGACCATCGACAACTCCATTAACCCAATCTTGCAATTAAATTTTAAGTTTCGTATGACGCCACAGCTGCCATACACTGACGCAAGGAAAAAAAAAAGGAAAGGACGCACAGGAAAAATGCCGAACAAATGCTATTAGAGTTTTATAAACTCGCCATTTCCGGATAGAAAATTTTTCCCTGCAAATATGTGAATGATGACAATTCTTTTTTTTTGCCAATGAAAAGATTAAATTTTTTTTTCGACTGATTTTAGGAGAAAAAATTTCCATAGCGATTCCATTGCCAAACGATTTGATGAAAAATGTCAAGTTCAAATTATTACACTTACGACAATGAATCATTAGAGATCTGTGACTCATCGGTTTTCAAACAAGCAATTCACTGGCATTTTTCCCTTGGAAAAATGAAGATAATACGAATAATAAATAGCTTGAAGGCCGGAAAAAGAACATGAACATTTAACCAATAATTTTCTCCCACCGAGTGCACAAGTACAATAAAAAAAAAAAATCTCCCACAAAAATAAGTGAAACACCGAAAGATTCCACAGTAAAAATAAAAAGTCGGACACAATAGATATCCAGAAACCCCTCAATAATTCAATTATCTAACCTAAAAACCCTTGAATCTACTGTCACGCGCGCCATATCTAAATCAGCTGTTCTCAAGTCCACAGAGGAGGTTCCCCCCACCAGTTCCATAATCGAGCTCCAAAATGGTAAAATTTCAAAATCTTCGGGTCCGAAAACAGCAATGGAGGGGTTAAAAATTCCCTGAAAAACCACGAAACACAGATGAATTCCAAGAAGCTGAAGGGCATGGAGAAATATTTATGAGAGAATAATTGATTGGAATTCAATTAGAATATCTCTTTAGGAAGCACTACCACCCGAAAAATTTCCCCTGATGATTGATCCTGGCGGTTTTAGGGAGTGAATAACTATTTTACTTATTTACCTTTTTTTACCGAAAAATTAGAGGTTAAAATGTTGATTGGCTCTTGGCCTTTTTGTGATGGTTGTCTTAACGTTGAGTTTGACGTGTTCAAATCCGATGTCTAGCACCTACTGCGCTAGATTCTGTTAAAACCATGTGAATATGTGTCATTTTGAAATTGTGTGGGTGGACGCGCCCGCGCACAAACGACAATACAATTGTCTGTATGTGAGGCCTTTGTCAAGTTAACGAATTGTTATTTATCATACAATTGGTGTTATTATGTACTCATTTGGAGCGATCATTGTGTTTTTACCTCTATTGACATCTCCACAATTTTTTGATATATGATGTGAGTTTTGTTTTACCTAGTGCTATTTTTTCATCTTTTCCCGGTCGGGTTTTTCACTGTCTTTTCTTTATTTTTTTTCTTAAAATACATCCTTGAAACAAATTTTCCTAATCATTAGTGTTAATTGAGTTAATTGAGAGCTGGAAAAAAATTTAGGTTGAAGATGTTTAATAAAAATTGAGAGCGAATTGAAATAAGAACAATTTCAATAACGATTTTTCCAGAATTACGAAACAATGTTTTTCATCTTTCATTTAATCTCGGTGTGCAGTTTATATGTTGTATCTCATTGCGAGGAAATAAGTTGATAACTGTTAATTTTCTTTTATCGAAGGTATCGTAATAATCCGAAACCCTCCTAAGAACGATAATGTACCACCCGGGGCTTCTCAGTCGATTTTCCCCCCCAAATATCCACACAAAAACTAAACAATTTCTGTCTATACTATATATTATATTCCATGTTATCAAGTTAATCCAACACACGAGCACACCCAGTATATTTTTACCGGACGATTGGTAGAGATAATCGATAAGATTATCACTATCTCCCATAAGGTGCAAATAAATGAGTCGTCAAATGGTGAGATTATCATATCCTTGAAATCGACACCTCACAAATACTTGATCACATTTACTCTAACTAAATTTTCATTATCGAATGGTTGAACGTTGCTCTCACCGACAATTGAAACACAAACAACCGTTTCCATTTCATACAATTTTTATTTAACCATCCTCAACAGATCGACTGAAATTTCCAAAGGCAAAAAAAACAACACTTACGATTTGGCGAGAATGTAACAGGAAACCTTTACCGTCGCAGTTCAAACTACAAATTTCATTTTATTTATTCTTTATTTTATTTATTTATTTATCAGAACACGACCTCATCCTCTGGTTCCGCGATTACCAATGGAACGGATTCCGATATCGGAGAACAAATAGAATTTCAAGGGAACCGCGAGCTAAGTCTTTCAATTCAAGTTAGTGACTGGTTTATTCAGTACTGCGCGGGGATTCGCGTATTTTTCAGGGGTTTTTATGCGATTGGGTGACCGGCATATGAGAGAGTGGGCAAAACTCGTTGGAGAGGTGAAAATATGCCGAGTTACAGCAGGAAAACTTCAAAGAAAAAATTCACCATTCAAAATTCCAGGAAAAGGTGAATGGATCTGAGTTACGGAGGCCCCCGCGAGTCATAATAAGCGTGAACTAGCCCTCGGGGCGTGATTTTTAATTTTTTTCACTTTTTCACCA